TTTTAAAAAAATACATTTTCTTTTTCATTAGTCCAAAGAGAGGAAACACACACCTGTGTTAAGTGCTCTGTATGTCCTATTTCTCAGCCTCAAACTATTGACAGATCTCCCCTCCTAAATTTGACATTTTTTTTTTGACGAGTGATTCTTAGCCTATGATCTGCTGTGAATATACAAATGAACAGGCAGGCTTCTGTGGGAAAAGATGGGGAGGCAGTGGGGCAGGAATACGGACTTGACTGGACTGCTTCACGGGGTCAGCCACTTATCAGACCCCCACAGGTGGGGCCACCACGAGGCTAGGCCTTCTGAGTCTTGTATTTTTTTGCAGCTACAATGCCCAGAAAAGGGTGCACACATAGCAGGTTCTCCATTAACACGTGCAGAATAAATTGGTTGGTAAGCTTCCAACAAGACCCTCATTTCTCAGGGCTTATTCCGCCTAGAATAGAATGAAGCCAGTAAAACAAGCCTACCCAGATTTTCACAAGTGTCAGCCACAGAAGCTGGTGAAGGCGTGTGCAGCGATCAGAGTGTGTACCAGTGGCACCCATCTGTATTCGGACTGCACCCAGCACGGGCTCTGGGTCAGTGGGAGTGCTCACTGATTACGTGCTCACAGACCACATTTCTTTCGAGACAGTTTGACCTTCAGCACGTCTGATGGTTTATTTATGGTTTTTAGATATTTAATTTTCACAATGCAAAAATCTCATTTCTCTCCCCTCCCACCATTGGCTCCCATTATATTCTTTTCTGAGGCACTTCCACAACCCTGTTCTCCTTGCTAAACCATAACACCGGTGATGGTGGTGGTGGTGGGGGGGGGAGAGATGTATCCTGCTCTCAGATCCCTCACCCCCTCACCCTCCACGGGTTCGCCCCGTGCCTTCCTGAACACGCCAGGAGCTGGCTCACACATGTGCCTACCCTTGGAAAGAACAATTAATGGAGAGACGAGGAGCTGTATAATAATAAACTTGGTGTTTTGATGAATAAAAACTTATCAGGTATAAAGGTAAACACTGTTCTGAGTTTCTGTTCTTGTCAACTTTAGCATTTCAAAGTGCCTAAGTCCCAGGAAAATGACTTACTTCAATGAACTCAGGCTTAATTTCTGTCAACCTGAGGCTGAAAGCAAGCCCTCCTCCGTTATTTGATTAATAGTTGTATTTGTTTGAAAAGATGTTTTACTGTCAGAAACCAGCCCCAAAGATCCTGTCCAGTACTTTAAATTCTGATTTACTGATACCATAACAGAAACTTTTTAAACGAGTTATTCCCTGTTGCTTTCATGTCTATTGCTGAGCTTTGCTTTAAGATCTCTTAATTACAGAATCCATGTAGCTCATATCATGGCAGCTGCAACAAAGAACACCAAGATAAAAAATGTGGCATTGCTCCAGTTGACTTGACTTCTTTAAAACAGACAAGCCGAAAACCTCCATAGGTGCCCGCCCTGTGGCAAAGGCAAGGGCACCGGCAAAGGAAATCCCTAGGTTGTGTCACCAGCCCCCTGCCCCCTCCATCACAAGGTCTCTTTTTCACTTGAATGTATTTCACCATTTTGTCATCTATCGATTCAACAACACAATTTGGACACTGAGATGAAGATAAGATTTGATTGTTGAAAGAAAACAAAAACCAAAACCGCCACATTAGAGTACCAACCGTCACAGATGACTTTGAAAATGTGAAAATGACAAGATGAGGGACAGGAGAGAAGAACACGATTTTCAGGGTTCTCTGGGTTTCGGGACGAATCCGTTTCAAACCCAGGGCGGCAGGGCATTGCATCAGGCACCTCTCTACTGAGCGAGCGCCTTTCACACTGGCTGGAGTGGATTGTGTTGCTGCATTTTTTTCCCATCCTTTTTTGATAATTCTACTCGGATTGAAATACTTGAAGGATCTGCACCGTGCGGTAGTACTTGTGCGGCTCCGGCTACTGTAAAACAAACCCCATCAACACGAGCAGAGGGTAGGGCTGGGAGGCTCTGTAGTTGGGACGTCTGCGGTGCACCCCGAGCGGCCGCCTAGCCTTCCTCATCCAGAGCACCCAGGTGACTACCCCAAATCCTGCCCAGACCGTGGAACAAAATTACCTAGAAATTCAGAAGGGGCAGAATTTAGTCCCCGCTGAGAACCGAGGACCAATCCAATTATTACTAAGTCCCAACGATAACGTTCAATTTTAGGAAAACCGGACCCGCTCTCACATAACTTTCGCTCCCTGACGTGCGTCTGTGGGCACAGCGCCTGTGACAATGGGAAGGGCTCGGGACGGCCCCAGACCCGCAGCAGCCTCCAGGGCGCGGCCGGGACCCGGGAACCCGCGCACGGAGGCGAAAGCGTTTACCTCGAGCCGACTGAGGCTGGAGCTCTTGGAGCGCGATTTCTTGCGCAGGTACACCGAGAAAAACCTGCGCACGGTGAACTTCTTCATGCTCAGCTCCATCACCCCGTGCCCAGCCGGGAGCAGCCGCAGGGCCGGAGGACGCGCATCCCTGGCGCATCCCAGGCGCGGAGGTCAGGTCCGCGGGCGGGCGCGCGTGGCCGGGGAGCGTGGCGCGGCGGCCATCCGCGCGGGGCGTAGGCTGCGGGCACAAAGGGCAGGCCAAGCGGGCCACAGCGGCCGGGGGCCCCCGCGATCCCTCCTCCTTCGCCTCCTACTGCTGCCGCCGCCCGGCGAGGACCAGGCAGCCCCGCCCCGCCCCTTCTTCTCCTCCACTACCACCAATTAGCGCCCACCGTTCCACCGCTCCAGGCGCTCGCTCCTCCTCCTCCTCCTCTTCTCCCCTCCCT